GGGGGGACATAAAAGAGGGAGGGGAGAGAGGGGGAGGGATACAGGGGGAGGGAGGGACAAACGGAGAGAGAATGTGTGTGTGTGTGTGTGTGAGAGAGAGAGAGAGAGAGAGAGAGAGAGAGAGAGAGAGAGAGAGAGAGAGAGAGAGAGAGAGAGAGAGAGAGAGGAGGGTGAATGGCTTTTGACGGCAGTTAATTATTGTGATCTAGTCTCGGCTTGGGCAACTTAAAGTGTCACTTGCAATCGGGTGTACATAGCCGAAGCGTTGACTAAAACTCATTTTGGTAACTCGGCTGGAAAAGATGTAAACGAGTGTCTCTCTGTCGTTCAGGAAAGGGCAGATGGGAGAGGACAGGGGGGGGGGGGGTATTTATTATGGGTGTGTGTTTGTGCTCTTAACAAAGTCTGAAGAAAAAAAGATACTGCTCGAAGTGAAGGGAAGACAAAAGGAAGTAGTCAAGACTGGCCCGACTTCCTCTCCACGGCCGTTTCGTCGCACGATGTCGTGACAATTCAACCGCTCTCAATTTCTCACTTGTATACTGCTCTTCCACCCCACCCCCATCTTCCCCATAGATCTCTATCTCTCTCTCTCTCTCTCTCTCTCTCTCTCTCTCTCTCTCTCTCTCTCTCTCTAGTTTACTAGTTTTCTCTCTTTTTCCCCCTCTTTCTCTCTCTCTCTCCTTCTCTCTCTTTATATATATATATATATATATATATATATATATAGATAGATAGATAGATATATATATATATATATATATATATATGTATATCTCACTCTCTCTCTCTCTCCCTTTAACTCACATCTCTCTCTCTCTCTCTCTCTCTCTCTCTCTCCCTCTCTCTCTCCCTCCCATCACTGCCTCTCTCTCTCTCTCTCTCTCTCTCTCTCTCTCTCTCTCTCTCTCTCTCTCTCTCTCTCTCTCTCTCTCTCTCTCTCTCTCAATCTCTATTATTTATCGTTTTGTTTTCTTTATCTTCTATACTCGTCTTTCTGTCTATGATTTATATATGTGTTATATATATATTTATATACCAATGTGTGTATGTTTGTTTTTTTTTAAACTTGCCCGGGGGTCGTTGCCTTATTTGGTCTACGTAGAGCTTAAATAAGGTTACAGGGAAGGCTAAAACATCGCCTGGACATGGATGGTGGGTGCCTCTATAAATGAATTATTGATGGTCAAGGTAACAAGGTCACCCTCTTCTTGAGTCTGCCAATTGTAAAGTGTTCTCCGTTGGTCCCTACTATAGGAGGAACAAGGATTCCTTCGCCAGAAGATCAACCTGTTAGTTTTCTCTTATGCTTACATGGCCAGGTAGCCATGCAAACACAATACGATTTCCTTGTTCAGTCAACGAGTGAATCTTCAACTGGAATTTAACTATTTTAGGGTTTAAGAGTGTGAAATTGGTGAGTGAAGTGAGACAGAGCAAGGAATTGGACAGAATGAGGAAAGATGATTTGGGGGAATTTTCTGCCAAGCCAATAGGAGTGACCTCTACCCAAAAAATGGAGGCCTTGGGATGAAGCCTGCTCTTTTGGGTAATATTTGTTTTTGTTTGTTTTGTTTTAGTAGATGTTTCTCGGCGCTCGCAACTGCATGAGGTCATATTGAGCGCCAAGGGGTGGATGTCAACAGAGAAATCCGTACAGGGAATCAGGCTTACTCTGCTCACTTCTCTAGCTTCAACAGCACAAAGTCTACTTCGACTATCAAGGCACCCCGGAAATAGCGGGTCACAAGATTGTGACAAACATACAAAAGAAGTAGAGGAAAATGACGATAGTAAGGATTAGGAAAGAAAAGGCAGCAGTTCCCTGTTGTAGTTCAGGCACAGTTATGAGCGTGACATTGATCAGCCCATTTACAATTCTACTGTGCATTAGAACGAGAAATGCCCCCCCCCCCCCCCCCCTTTAGGAAAGGCCTAGATAAGCAATAATAGAGAAACACTATACATTGATGAGAAGAAGAAGAAGAAGAAGAAGAAGAAGAAGAAGAAGAAGAAGAAGAAGAAGAAGAAGAAGAAGAAGAAGAAGAAGAAGAAGAAGAAGAAGAAGAAGAAATATTACGGCAATGCCCTTGGTTTGCCAATTCAATCTGTGTACCATCTCCGTCTCTCGAGAGACATACAGCATTTCTTTTCCTCATATTCATATCACACCACCATTCACGAGAATTCAACACTCGCAAAAAAACCAATAGCTGAAAGTGACTTTAGCAATGTAATTAGTAGCTAAAGCTGTTTTACGGAAGGGGGCGGCTTTTTGTGTGTGTTTTATGGGGAAAGGGGAGTTGGATTTGTTGTTGTTGCGGTTGTTGTTTTGTTGTTGTGTGTGGGTGTGGGAGCCTATCCTAACCCAGAAGAGTGTGCTCTTCGCCAGGGCCACCGCCTCTCTTGAGAAGTGGGTGAG